TGCCATCATTAACAAGAGATGGAGAAGTACCTTCTTGGATGTAGTTGCAAAACAAGGAGCTGACGTGGGAAGTGAACACTCATTAGTATTGACTTAAATCAAGTTGAAGTTAAGGAAATCAAGGAGAAAAGATCAAAGACCGCCTCCAATCAACATCCAAAAGCTAAAGGACACAAAAATTATGAGATCTTTTCAATTAAAAGTTCAGAAAAAAATTCTGAAAGAAAAAGAAAATCCTGTCCACTAAATCAAAGAGACATAAAGATTGGCTCCAAGCAGAATATCGGGCTATAGACAAAGAAGTAAATGAAAATGCAAGAGCAGACAGTTGGACATACACTGAAAAACTAGCTAACAAAGCAGAACAAGCAGCTTCTAAACAAGATATGCAGACCCTCTTTCGAATAACAAAAACACTAGCAGGTAAATTTCAGTCATCAGATTTACCAGTAAGAGATAAAAAAGAGCATGTATTGTCAAAAGAAGACATAAAGAAACGCTGGAAAGAACATTCTGAGGAATTTTAAGTGTTCAAAATTAATGATACAGAACATGAGGTTCTGAAAACACCAGTCATAGATGCGTTTGACATTAATACAGATCCACCCAGTGAAGAAGAGGTGAAAATTCAATGGCGAAACTATAAAATGGAAAGGCATAGATCAGATAAATGCAGAATTTCCCAAGGCCGAAGAAAACTGGACACCTACCATGTTGACAAATATTCAACATGTCAGCATGGTAGGTGTACATTTAGATACCTACCATGTTGGTAGGTGACGATTCCCATATCAAACCCATATCCTACACAGGATATGGGAATCAGAAGAGACACCTACTTCATAGAGAAAAGGCCTCATAATTAAACTACCAAAATAGGAGACCACTCAAACTGCAACAACTAGCAGGTTTTAGAATGGGAAGGTCATGTGCCGACCAGGAGAAAGAGAGGAAGACCAAAAGAAACCTGGAGAAGATCGGTGGAGAATGATATAAAAGAGAACAAATGGACATGGGGACAGGTGCAGATATGGACACAAGATAGATCAACATGGTAGTCTCTGGTGACGGCCTTATGTGCTAATCAGCACAAAGAGGACTTATAAGTAAATAGAAATTGAAATAAGAAAAAGGAAATTTCAATGGACTGGTCATACTTCAAAAAGACAAAAACTTCCATCACTAGGCATTTCAATGGAACCCACAAGAATCAAGACCAAAGGAAACCTTGCAAAGAAGTTTTGTGGCAGAGATCGAGGAAGAGGGAGGATACAAGTGGTACCGACTGGATATATTAGCCAAGGCAAAACAAGGTGGAGAAGTATTGCCAATGGTCTAAGCCTCCTCCCTTGAGCTAAATGCGGAAGCAATAAATCATGTTAAGTTTAAATATAAGAAAAATGGAGTTTCCTGCAACATTCGTGACAGTTTATCTGTAGACTTTTAATCATTCCAGACATTTTCGCACATATGATGACGCACAAAGTAAGGCGTTCAGAATTTCACAAGGAATCTTAACATCTAGATTTGATTGATTTTAGCTGTAATTGAATGAAATCCGTACATTATGTAATCATTAAGACCTAACACTTGCATTTTAATTAGAAATTTAAGGAATTAAATTGAATTGACACGAAATGAGGTATTTGTGTATTTATGGAGAAGTTTATTCATACAGATCTTCACTTCGGAGGCACAATCAGATATCCGTTCATGCGTCCATTTGCGTTCTGGGACATATCTTGATTTGCAAAACAAATCCACTACTTTCTAGACTAAAGTTACTATGATCATAATTATACTGAGATTTTCGTTTGTGTAAAAGAAGTGCTAATATAATAATTCTCTCATTTTTAGACTTCATTTTTCTTTATATTATACTATCTGAATCACTTTCAATGCATTAATTACCTAGGCGGTTTGTGTATGTACGAGGGTTGTTCGGAAAGTTCGTGGACTACCCTCATGACTTTTTTACATAACGTCATATTAAATCCAAATTTGGAAGAAATATTTCAACAGTAAATTTAAATGATGTACGTTTAAAAAAATTAAAATATCCTGGTTTATTTCAAACTGATGAAGACTTTAAAAATGCGAAAATCGGATCACGGAGCAGGTCAAAATTTTTTAATTTACAATCAAGACACTAAATAATATCTAAAGTCACAGGTTCTGTAAAATGTCATAAAAACGGAAAAATTCTCCACATTCAAACTAAGAATTGTTTCATCGTTTCTGATTCCAAATTATGACTTAATATTTTGATTCGTTGAAAAGAAATCAGTTTCAGAAGATAGGCAGTCGTCATTGAAAAAGGCAAAAAAGACGACGTCGTAGAACGTCACGGAGCAGCAGCTAACCATACAACTTTGTGTTGTACTCTGGAAAACTCCAGAAAAAAATTCTGGAAATGCCGGAGGAAGTAGGAAATATGTCAAAATCGAGCCATACATGTGTGTGTACATGGTACAAGAGGTATTTGAATGATATACTACTCTGCTTAGACTACGGTGATCTGTGAAAAAACGGATTATCTGTAAAAATCTTATCAAAAACATTGAAAAGTTAGTAATCATGCTAAGAGTTTGGCGCTTCACATATGCTGATCTTGTGAAAGCACACTTATGCAGTGAAAAAAATATAACATTGACAAACAAAATAATGCTACTGGAACAATTGTTAGCTAATTAGATTTCAAGCAACAGAGAAACGTTTTAAATGAGTGCATTGGTATAGGGCAATAGTGTGTGAAATATATAGGGATAGTATTTTTGAAAACCTCATATCGGTATGTTTTGACGTTACAGTGTTGTTGAGTTTGCTCAAGTCCACGAACTTTCCGAACAACCCTCGTACTTAAACATAAACATAGGAAATAATGAAGACATGGGAATCTAGGGGAGGGCGTAGCATCTTTTAACATTTTTCAGATACTCTAAAGATGACATTATCTAGAGTCCCATCTTCCTCCCTATTACTGGATCTGAATAAAAGAACCCATAACCCTGATTTTTTTGGGGATGGGGTGTTAATTGATTGCTTATTCATCTGCATGAAAATGCCGAAATATGAAGTATTTTACTCATTAAATGTTTTTCCTCTAATTCTTTATGTATGATACAAGTCTAAGCATACTAGATTTAAAACATAGCCTTACCAGCCTTTAAATACATATCAAACTTTTGTTCTCACACCCTTATTTTTAAAGCGATATAATTGATGGAAAAAATTTCTCCTATGTCCAAAAGGTAACATATTTTAATGGCTGAAAGCAATTACCTATTCGACATTGTAATATAATTCTTTACTTATATCTGTCGGCAAAATGCATTATGATTGGGATTCGTTGCATAAAAATCAATAAGGAGTTATTTTGTATCCATTATACAAGCTTGTGTAAATGAGAAGGAGCAATTCTAATACGATATAGAACAAGCTTTATATGCCGTGGTCATCCAACTTGCACAGATCGGGGGTAATATATGAATTCATGTATATGTTTTGGGTTTTTTTTTTTTACCGTGCAGATAAATATTTTATCATTTACAAACCATAGTATCAATAGAATTGCTTGTTCTCAAACTGTCAATTTGCTGAATCTTTTAAGGGTATTTCATTAAATCATTGTTTTTATTGAAAGCAATCATAAATGTTTTTTTTTTTTAATTATTTATTTGAATTGGCCCCAAAACGGTTATGTGCTATTCGAAACAAATATCTTATATTTTGCGTTACCGTAAATACTTTGTATTGTACAGTTCAAAACATCTGATAGCCCAATTGATATAATGAAAAATTCCCTGATTTGGGTAGTATACATATCTCGATTGTGTATGATAACTCGATCGGGCTGTACAGTTGAATCCCCAATCTGAATTGAAAATTATATTCCTAAATTATCTCTTAAATTAAAAAAAAATACTTTTAAAATTTCGAATTACAAATTGTCATTTACCAATAGAAACTGGAAGATCGTATGGTATACCACTTTCTGAAAGAATTTGTACACTTTGTAATACTTGTCAATTTGCTGATGAATTTCAATATATTGTAGAATGTAAAACTTGAGCTTTTGAACGAAAAAAAATACCTGTGTAATTATTATTCTCATAGACCGAATGTTATTAAATTTACGGAACTAATGTCGACTCCAAACAAGAAAATCTTGAAAAATTATGTATTTTTATCTTAAAAGTTTATCATGTTGTCTGTCCGCCTTGATATATTTCCCACTTTCTTCATTATTTTTCCTTCTTCATTTTTATACCATATTTTGTATTATATGTGTATAGTTTTTGTACCTCTGACCAGTTTGTTTGAAATGCACATGTATATATGTTCAAAACGCCTGAGAATTCATCAGAAATTAATGTGCTACATATCATGTATTTTAATAAGGCATAAAATTATGTTTAATGTTGAAAAATGTCTGACACACTTAGTCGACTACATATGTTGAGAATAGGGTAAAAGTAAACGAGGAGAAACGATGCATTCAACTGAAAAATATCGAGAATGCATTGCATAAGGATAAAAACCACTCTGTTTTTCAAATATCAAATCTTGCAGAAACTGTTCACTTTGCTTTAGATAAAAACTGCTTCATTTAAAAGAAATGCTGCAAAACCAATTAATGTTAAATATGATGAGGTAAAAATTGTAATTAATCTACTGGTGCATTTCTTCAATTTTAAATTCCAAGGACATAAGTTTGAATGAAAGGTATCTGCATGCTGATATATTGTTGGTTTGGATGAAACAATGAATGATTAACCGTATGGAGTTTCATGGTCCAGAGCCGACTTGATACTCAAAAATATCTTTGTCCTGCTCAAAATGTGTCTTTGAAAATTAATTTTCCTTGTTTTCTGGATCAACTGATAAAGTTTTAAATAAGGTGTTTGTTTCATGTTTTACAAAGGGTACCAGCAATCTAAAAAAAATACAGTCCAAACACAGGTATCGGTAACGATATCTAAAAAAAAAAACATGGTACATATACTAATAGGCATTGATAAGCAAAAACAGATGAGATGTTATTAAAATGACACGAGCATCCTTGAAATATAAAAGTCATCCCTCTGTTTGGAAATGCTTAGCTTAATGATATAGAAAAAAAGACAAACTTAAAGCAACTTAACTATATACTTTAAATTATGATGGCACCAATGTCATTTGTTTGCTTTCCGATATAAACGATTTGTGTCGGTAAAATTCATGTTGTTCAATGTGTCCCCCAATACATGATGTTTGTCCTGTGCTCGGAGTTTATTCAGTATTAGCTGATGAAGATTTCGGAGGTGATCTACATCAGTCTTGAAGTTTTCAGTCATTATAGTTAGTTCGTTCAGGTACTGGTTAGATTTGTAGATATTTAGTAACACAACAACTGACAAAATATTAATGATGAATAAACAGAGGTAAACAGATTTTCGCTTTCGTCCTTTGGTTTGCTTCTCGCGCACTATCGTCTGCTCTTGAACTGGGAACACTATGATCGGTCTTCCCTTCTCCATTCAGTCAACTCCTTGTATGTCATATGTTTCAACTGTAAAACGTTACAACAAAAATAAGATAAATACAAATGATTGTGTTATACGAAAAAACAAAATAACTTTCGCTGCCTGAAAGGAGAAAATAATTCAATTTTTTTTTACGAGATATTATCGAAATGTGTCCCTAATACCTCATTGGCCCTGTCCCCATCCCGATCTAAAAGGACGTCCCATTCCTTATGGAAAACATGTAAAAAGACATATGGGGTTGGGGTATTTGATATAGAAAACCAAGATTATTTCAATATACAACCAACTTAATGTTTACAAGATTATGAAAACCAGTGAGCTCTCTATCTAAACTATAATATTCATTACCCCTAGAATTCCTATAAACAGTACAAATCAAGAACAGGGCAAAAACACAGATCTCTGGAAACACTATAGGGGATCGGGTGCCAAGGGGGAGTATATATCCCCTCTCGACCAATTGCATCCGCCTTGAGCCCTCTATATTGATTTGGTAAATAAAGTAAGTTAGTTTGAAACATATTCAAAATTTGAACCTACGATAGTTAACCAGTAAATCAACGACCCAAGATCTGTTAAGCAGTAATCTTAAGTCATTGGATCAGTTTCACTGGGATGACAATTTTTAAATGTGTTTTGGAGTGACTTCACTGCTCAATAGCTAAAAGTTTCTTATACAGGTCTAAATTTGCAATCATTTACCTGCAATTAGTAGCGTCCTTACATGAGTAAAATAGTCTTGAAGGGACGTAAAAATAACAAACAAACAATTTAATAAGTAAGTATCTTCTTCATCTGCAAGGGGGATATGAATCCAGCGATAAAGCATATTTCATTGTTTTTCTGATGAAATGTTTTGTCAGAAAATAAACGAAATTAATGCCCTACAACATTTCCAGCAATCAAGTAACACGATTAATTCAAATCAAATATTTTTACTTAAAAAATGATCACTTAACCTGCGGAACACCTGACAGTGTGAAAATTGGTAGTTTTCCCTTGCTGGTAATTTCTACAGAAAATCTCAACTTTTATACATCCTACTTTTATACATCTCTGAAGGAAAATAGGCTCGTGATAATTAAAAATATCGAAAAAAGGACAGATTGGGTAGACATGGGTAGATCACATTAAGAGACAGGGCCTATACCGGTGCTTAGAGTATTCAGTTTCAAGGAAGGGTATTTTTCAACATTATTTTAATTTCTATATTGCATCATCGAAATCCTCCCCAAAACAAAGCATTAAATTTTCATATTATAATGAAAAAATACTCAAGGAACGAAATTTTGAATTTGTTTCCATCACTGACCTTTAGACCATGTGGATATTTAAGATCTCAAAATTTTCAACGGGATGGATACCTGAGAAGTCAAATTCATGCTTCTTAACCTAAGGAAAAATTATGCGTACCACAAACAACGAAGATGAAGTAATATTTGATAAGGAAAAATAGATTTCTGGGGATTTAACTGTGGTTGTTTTTCAAATCCAGACAGATTGCAAAATAAATTTTTAAGAATATGTTGTTCCTTAGAGGAAAAGTTGTCATATATTCTCAATCAAACTTTGCGCCCCATTCTTTTATGCCTTAAGGACCGTGCTTTACACAACCTTGAATTTGCACTAACAGAGTATTCATCACCTATTGTTCAAGAAAAGAAAAATGTCCAGTCCTTTTTGTATATACCAATATGAATATTAACCATTAATTATATTAAAAATATAGTATATAATTTTATGTTTTTTTAAAAAAAGATATGAAATGACAAAAAGTTCAATTCTATGTGTTAATTCTTAAGGTATTCACAGAAAGGTTAATTTCGCAAAATTCGGGATGATAAACACTTTGCCAAAAGTTCATTTTAACAAAACATTTGTATTATGATATCTTGATCACATTCCCCAACCTCTACCCCACAATTTATGCTTTAATAGAGCCTCGGAATTTTGCTTTATCTATGCATTCTCTAGTTCATTTAACAATTCATAGAAAAGAGAATTGCTTGACATACAGGTGTATTTTTTTCTATATCGTGAAGCAGATTCGTATAGTTAGAAAATTAAAAACCTCAGATCTTACAACCAAAGTGAAAAGTCAATTAAAATGCAATTTGGCGAGGCACGAAAGTCAGAAAGACAAATTTTTCCCTATCTTCTTTTTTCTCTAATTTAAGAAGTTAAAATTTAAAATCCTGTTCCTCTGAGATGAACGAAGCATACATAATGCCGAGTATCTACCTCAACACTAACTTCTACAAAAGAATTTCCACAAAAAATGACTTAACAACACACAGCAACCTGCCTCTTAACATACTTAAAGGAGAAAAATACTCTAAATGATTTCTTGTTCCCTGAAAATGAGCAGCCTTTTGTTTGAAAACAATTGAACGCTTTACAAAAGGATACTTTCGGCGATGTTTGGATGATACTTTTCCAAACTTTTTTTAGGAGCAGTCGGCGAAGAGAAGAGTTCACATAGGATACAAAAGACAACATTCTAAAAAAAACTCTCCGATAAAACAAGCATTTATTTGATCTAATTATGGTAGATGAAATATATGGAGATAACGAACAGTATTCAAGCTCAAAAGTCCATTAAACAATACAAAATAGGAGCAGAGCAAACACGGACCTCTAAACATCAGAGGTGGGATCAGGTGCCATGGAGGAGTGAGCATCCCCTGCCGACCGGTCACACCCGCCGTGTGCTCCTTGTCATGATCGGGAAATAACGGAAAAATCCGTCGACAATTCAGTGTGTAAATAATGGCCTAACAATTAGTATGCAAAACGTCAGTCAGCATATGCCTCAAAGATAAATTGTATTTGCTGACAAGGTCATTGTATCGACCATAGAACTTACGAAATGATGACTTTAAACGAGACAGCTGATATTCTTGTTTCATCAACTTGTTTGTCAATAATTCACCTCGTTTTAGAAACTGTTCATACGTAGAGCATGCTCTTGCGTATCGAATCAACTGAGAGATATATACCCCGTATGCAGGTGATGAAGGTATATTGCTGCATAAGTAAGGGAAGTTGACGATTGAAAAGTTAAAGTCATCACGTTTATCATAAAGCTTGGTTGTTAGATTACCATTAACGTCTTTTTCAAGTAAAATATCCAAATATGAAACAGATGTGTCAGACTCTGTAGTATCTTTTATCTCAAGTTCACCAGGATATATCGTATCGACATAAGAATGAAAATAGCCATTGTTAATTGACAATACATCGTCGATATATCTAAATGTCGAGTTGAAGGCCACAGCAAGTGTTTTCTTCTTTTCACGTACAAGATTTTGGACAAATTCTGCTTCATATGAATACAAAAAAAGGTCTGCTAATAACGGGGCGCAATTGGTACCCATGGGAATTCCAATAGATTGTTGGAAGACCTGGTCTCAAAAAACCACATAGATATTGTCAATCAGAAACTCAAGCATCTTTTTAATGTCAACTTCAGAGTACTTGTGTGTACAATCAGAATGTTTTTTAACAAAATAATTTTGCAAATGACCAATGACAAGGTAAGTATATTTACGAGTTCCATTTTTATTGAAAAAGCAGCTGTCAATGATATCAAAAAGCCTGGACTTTAATTTATCGTGGGGAATGGTTGTGTATAAAGTAGAAAAGTCATAAATTTTTAAGCTGTTGATTTTGGTAAAATCTTGCGATTTCAAATTTTCAAAAAGTTCCTTGGAATTTTTAAATATCCACATCTGATTTACACCACTTCTCGAATATATTGTTGCACAGTACTCTTGAAGTTTCTCCTTCACCACTGTTAATATCTTAGTGAGGAGTAAAGAAAGAGGCTTGGTTGAACATTTACTGGAACCCGGTATGTATCTTTGTTTGTAAGGATTTTTATGAAGTTTCGGAATCCAATATAAATATGGTAATTCAAATTCATTTTGGTTGTTTGGAATATTCAAAATATTCAAAACTGACATATGATTTTGAAGAATTTCTTCCTTAGAAAGGGAACTACGAGTATAAGTTGGATTACCACTCGTAGAATTAAATCCAAGTTCCTCTAAAATACATTTGATATAATGAGATACAGGTTAAAGACGAGCGTCACGATAAGGACATCTCTGAAATTGTCCTCATCATTTGTTTAAAACAAATTCTCATCAAAGTAAAATCTGACAGCCTTGTTGTCAGTTTTGTGGTTATCCAGAAGATACAGTCATAAATTCTCAGATTTTTACATAATTTGAAACATAACAAGTTGATATTAGCATTTTTGATCACCTTCCGCAATTCTATTTAATGTACATTTTGTTATATATATCTAACCACTCACAACAAATTCTATTAGTTTAGTTATTTAATTTGGTATATGATTATGTATTTTCCATAAATAGTAAGAAGGGAAGTACGACTCTGCCTAATTAGACCTTAAAATCAATGTCATTTGTTTTAATCAATAATCAAAGTGAAATTTGAAATTTAATTTTAAAAAAAGATGAAATTACTAAAGTAACCTAATACGGTTTTAAAAAACATGCATAATTTCTCATAGTTTCAAACAAATGATATCGACTGGATAAAATTAAAAAAAAAATCAATATAAGTATTACCTTGTCAACAGCTGTGTATGTCGCTAACACCTGAAGAAGTTTAAAAATATGTGCAGGTAACGACGACCCTAGGGCGCTTTGCTTATTGGAGTAAGTTAACATGCATCAGGAAATTTTATATTCATAATTAAATGTATGCATAATGTTGCAGCCATAAATGGATGGTTATTTTTTATGTATCCAACATCAAAATAAATACAGAATGTGAACAGATTTATTTAAAAAAAAAAAAAAAAAAAAAAAAAAAAAAAAAAATTCAAAATTGATGCTATTCGGTGATGATTAATAACATCCCTTTTTAAGGACATACGCAACGTAGTTTGAACTTTATTGTCTATTTCCCTTGAGTTGAAGAGTTCCAATACTTAAAGGAACTGTGTGCTACATTTTAATGTTTATACCATTGTACACTTCTTCTAAAACAAGTTTGGATAAACAAAACGTCTTGAATATATGTTTAGTAATTTTTGTATATTTTTCTTTGAATTACACAAGAATTTTCATCAATTGATATCTTTTCAAAACCCCTGGTAAATCTTGTTGATTTTTTGTCTACGAACATCTGATAGCACTATAATCTTAAATTAAGAATATCTTGAAAAATTATTAGTAGGTAAGGTACGTTGCGTATGTCATTAAGTGAAACATTCTTTTGCACTTTTCTTTGATGTACCAGCACCTAAAATGAATGATTATTTTTTTTTCTTCTTTTTTTCTTACACAAAAACTCAAATTATAGTAGCTTTTTTAGATTTTGTACAGGACCTATCAGTCGTTTTCGAGATGAAATCCTATGGCCATTACTTGAAGTAGATGCTACTATAGTCAGTTTCCATTTTGCATCATTTGCTTACTTATTACACACTCATTTACAATATCAAGAGCGACATGGCAGTAACTTTTGGGATAACAATGTTTGATTTTATCTTGTTTCTTTCAAGAGCGACATGACAGTAACTTTTGGGATAACAATGTTTGATTTTATCTTGTTTCTTTCTGTTCTTTTATGTCAGCATCCATTAAAAAAATACACTACATTTACACTGTAAACTTGGAGATGTTTGATCAAGGGTAATTTTTGCGTATTTTGCTATCAGAAACACTTTGTAAAAATGATTACTAAGCACAATGTTCTATAAACAAGTCTTAACGATTTCTCTACATGAAAGTCAAGAACGATCACTGAAAATTACTATAAATACATGTATACTTCGTATATAAGACATTGTATTGGTAGAGGAAGACACGATAGAGTTCGGAGGGAAAGAAGGAGGAATACACCGTTTATGATCTCTTAAATCATATTTCTATTCTTGAGGAAATAAAATACTTTACTCACGTAATGTGAATTTTTTACGCTTAAAATTATTCAGATTATTGTCTTTTTTTAAAAAAATATAAAAGGGAAAAAATGTGAATTTTTTAATCAACACACTTTTTACAAGTTAAATGACATACTTGAGTGAAAAAACGATTTTTTTTTAAACTTGACAGCATGACTTGACTGTCGTTCTGATTCAGTGGTGTATCATAATATTCGTCCTAGCAAATCGTGCCCAGCCATTCCATTCACTGCTCATCTGTTTACCTGTGATAGTATTTGATGATACACATATAGGTAAGTTGTAAAATATTAATTTTTATTTATTTATCTACGTTGTTTCTTAGAAGAAATTTTTCTTATAAAAAAGTCTAAAAATATACCAAATGAACCACAGGCACTTGGGACATGGACTGATATGTCAGTCGAAAACGAGATATTTAAAAACAGCTCCCAGAGACAAAAGAGTTACATTATCTATAACATGTAATCCATATTAAAATGCAAAAATAGGGAAAAGGTTGTCAAGCTCCGATTTAAAAAGAAACAAAATTGAAAGGGGGGGTCTATGCCCCAAGTGCCTGTGCAATGAACTGCCATCCTTATGTAATATTTGATTGAAATTAATTAGTTCTTAGATGAAGACATCACGCAATGGAGTAAGGCAATTTACCTATTTAAGAAGTAGGTACGATAAACATTGGTTTATGCCAAGTTCAATTTCAAGTTCATTTATTCACTCAAAACCATCTAATATATAAATGGTACATGAGGACAATGAAAAATATTTGCAACATATAAATTCCGGTCAGAGGTACAAGTATATGATATACTTATTCAGAAAATGAAAGTGAAGGAAGACAAAGAAAAAAAGATGAATACATATAATACATATGTTAATAGTATAAACGAGGAAAAATCATGGAGGACAGACTAGCTCATATATTTTTAATATAAAAGTACAGAGTTTTTTCCGAGTTTTAGCATCTTGTTTTGTCATTAATTGAGAAAATTTAAGTATATTTGGTCTAGCAAAGTAGTATTCATTTATATACTTTTTCCTAATGTTTGACAATGAAGTGCATTCATACGGAAGCCGGTAGGTGCCAGGTAGAAAAATATTTTATCTGGCGGCCGCCAGATAAGTTTCTGGCGGCCGCCAAATAATTATCTGGCGGCCGCCAAATAATTATCTGGCGGCCGCCAAATAAATAACTGGCGGCCCCCAGAAACTTATCTGGCGGCCGCCAAATAATTTTCTGGCGGCCGCCAGATACAAAGATCTGGCGGCCGCCAGAAATTATCTGACGGCCGCCAGAAAGTTATCTGGCGGCCGCCACATAATTTCTGGCGGCCGCCAGATAATTATTTGGCGGCCGCCAGATAAGTTTCTGGCGGCCGCCAGTTATTTATGTGGCGGCCGCCAGAAAGTTATCTGGCGGCCGCCAGATAAAATATTTTTTCTACCTGGCACCAACCGGCTTCCGTACATTCAAGTATAAAATGGAATTTATCGGCAACATGTTTAGCTTTACAAAGTGTACATAATCTTTCATTTAGTGGTATACCTGCCCATCTTCCCAGTTCAACTGGTAGACGGTGATTAGAAGTACGAAATTTTACAAGTATTTTTCTAAATTTTAATGGCAAAATGCTTAAATACTTTTCACATTCAAAGCTTGTTTATACACACCTTTGGATGAACTACATGTATTAATTTTAGCATTCCATTTTTGTATAAATTGATCCTGTATAATCGTTGCTTTAGAGCAGTAGTAACCCAATCTTGATTAAGACTATAACAAAACTGTTCATTCCAAATATTAGATAGTCCGCATGAGTCAAAAATGCGATACACACAGTCAATCCATGGATTCTTACCAATTTCAGATTGTGAATTAGCGATTAAATATTTATATAATATACATGAAGTTTTGTTTCCGGGGGTATTAATTAATTTACACTTACACCAATATGAAACTATTCTAGAATAAACAAGGGCAGATAATGGAAAGCGTCCTGTTTCACCATAAACCATGAAAATTTGGGGTACTACTTTTCAAGTAAAGTATATGTTTCAAAAATTTTAAATGAACACGTTCAATAATGTCTAGGTTTTCAAAACCCCAGATTTCACAACCATAGAGTACACTGGTACAACCATTTATCGAACAATTCAAATTGACATGCTATAGGGCGGTTGAATTGTCTAATTTTTCTGATTACACCATACATTGCTTTTTAGACTTGCTCACATAGATGTTTCTTGGCTTTTAAAAAGGAGCCAGATCTTGAAAAAATGATACCAAGATATTTAAATTCTTACATTTTCTAGACTCTTGTTATTGTAGTAAAATGTTCTCTTGAATAAAGGACCTTTTGAAAAAATTAATATTTTGGTCTTGTCAATATTAACATGCAATTTTCACTCTGTACAATAGCATTCAAATTCATTCAAAGCATTCTGTGGATCATCAGGAGTTTCTGCTAAAATGACAGTATCATCGGCATATAAAAGTATTAAAAGTTTCAAATACATACATGTACCTAATTCGTGTTCTATTGAAGTAGTAAGACTTTGTAGACTAATTATATTTTTATCAACAAGATAATTTTCTAAGTCATTAATGTACAGGGAAAATAAAAAGGAGGATAAGTTTTCCCCTTGCCGAAACAGTCTATAGCTGGCTGTGTAACTATAATAAATTAGTTAACAAAGTTAAAATTAAGGTAGCTAATTCGTTCCAAATTTCTATCAATCATTTTTTTATTTGAATTGCTATAAAATAACTCGTATTCTAACTAAAAGGACCATACAAGACATACCTATTTATGCTCATTTTTATACAATGTGTTTTAGAGCACATATCCCTGAAAATTCAAAGATATACAGATTTCATTCAGTTTTGCATCAAAATACATAATTTAAGGTTGTATTTCATAAAATCAAAAGATCACTAGATTCACTTGTAAAGAGACTTCTTAAAACTTTTCAAAAAAAACCTAAATAAATTGAGGTTTAATCAGTTTACTACCTTCAGAAAAAATAAGATACAATGTAATGAAATGTTCGTCCTACATGTAAAAGGAACGTAGAACGAAGCTGGGATGTCCTCCAGTTGAAATTTTTTTTTCTTGTTATTTTTTTTCTGGCTGTCCCCTTTGAAAAAGCAGTGTTACTGTGTATGTTCCCACTAAAGCTACGGAAACATCATATTTTCGATTCCATATCGCTAGGCAAATTAATAACCGGATAAACATAGACAATTTTTCAAATCAAAATATTTTTAAAATACTGTGCTCGAACTTGCGCTGCAATTCATAGATTAAGCTTTACGCTAATATGTATAATGAGTAATCAATGATAATTCACATTTATTATAGTGGAAAATGGCTGTATAAAATTGTCTTTATCAACACATTTCAATCCACGTGAAGCAATTCTGTTTTTTTTATTGCTTTTTCCATATAGTAATGCATCAGTAAAGCACAGATGAACAGATTTGATACAGTCAACTTTCACATGATAAAAAGATCACTTTATAAAGTATGCTAAGTAAATTCTGGTCGAAGTTATTTTGTTGGTAGCTTTATCATTGCAGAGTTATCCCAAAGGAAGAGTTATATAATGATCAAATAAGTTTAATTAAAATAACGTGAGTATGCCTTTAAATTCAATGGTTATGTTTAATGTCTTTGTCAATCTAATTTTGCAGTACATAAAAAGATCCAAATAGCAACAAATTTCTAAATATTCCATACGATTTTTTTAAAAAGATGCGGAGAAAATTAGTCAAGATGAATGTATAGGTACAGTACACTTAAATCTTCTAGCAGATGAATAATTTCTGGAAGCTCTTTGTATCAGATGTTGGTATCTAGCGAAGATATACAATTGAATATGAAATAAATAACATCTAGATCAAGCGGTTCAAACAATTAGCTTAACTTCTTTTCGCTTTTTCTATCCAAGGAAAAAATTGGTATAGGCAGAAAGGATGAAGTTTATTAATAATATTAGTGATCTACTTTGGTTCAGAACATTCCGTATGGAATAGAGAAGAAAAATTCAACGAAAGGCACCCAACTAACTATGTCACTATTTTTTTTTTAGAGTCGAACAAAACACGATGTTTCCAGGATACTAAACTTGTAAGGGAACAGCGTATCCTAAAAAGGATTTATGATTAAACTCGGCAAGATGCACGCCATCGAGATTGACTCGGCAGAACGAGAAAAAATCCCCATGATTCTGGTGCAAGTATTCATGTTGGGGATGATCTTTCTAGGATTCATCGTCATTTGGCAAATCTACATCATGAATCAATTTCTCTCAGAAATCAGCGAGGAGCTGGGAAATGGGAAAATACAGCTACAGATGAAGGGTGTGAACAAAGACAGAATCTTAAGAAAAATTATGAATTTAGATTGATTTCTTTAAAATATTTTGATGTTTTTCTTTGCAATTCCCGATCTGATTTAAATTTTTAGAACAAAGCCTATAATAGCTGCAGATCTGTAGCTCACTCGTCTTGTACAAAATGGGATGGACGACCATGAATATCTATTTAGATCAAAGTGCTGACGAGTAAGGAACTGTAGCTCAGAGATCGTCCATTTCATTTTTTTTTTTTGCAAGCTAAGTCCATAATAGAAGGAATACTTAAGTTTTTACAGCATGTAGCTCTCTCTCAGTTACAACAGTTTTAAAACATTCACTTACTTCTAACGTGCTTTTATGTAATTGCTTTAAGGAAATATAAGGAGAAAGTTGTCCTTAATCTATTTTAATGCTGAAGTCATAAGCTGGAATCAAAGGTACAGGTATGTACACGCAGATAGTGTAAATGTTATACACTACGACTGTTATTAATGAATGTATTGAGTGTCTTGATCTAGAGCTCGGATGCTGTTTACTTGATTCTTGAAAAAATGTTTTGCTCAGAATACTTCGATTTTAAAGATCAGTTTCCAATACCTTTTTAATAAACAAGATTTTCTAAGGTGTAAAAACATGTATCAAACACATCTATCGTGAAAGATATCTAAAGCCAAAAAAGAATGCGTTCCTTATAGGCCTCTAACTTTTAATTGTTCCACGACATTGTTCCTTTGGTCAAATACTTTTCTTTTTTAGAATTTAAAATAAGACAAGGCTAATTTTTTTCCCTATTTCTTCATTAACTGACACGGATATCCACGAAATGTAAAAAGTCGTCCATGTGTTTGAAAATGAATACATCTAGCTAATAAACTTAAAGCAACTTTTCGTATATAGCAATACTACTACCTTTGTATAATGGCACCAATTCCATTTGTAACAGAATTAACGTTCCCTAGTGTACCCACAATACACGAAGAGTAACTCATTGATATTTATTAGTAGTTAGTTTCTTTGGAATGTCTGAAAAACCTTCCCTCCCCTCAACAGAAACATAAATTTGCCATTCACCAGGAGTTCAGATATAACTTTGACTGCTCTTAAAGAGAATATATAATTCAGTGTTTTGTTTATGATCACAGAGTAAAGCTTATTCAGTTGTGAGTAAAATGTATCATTAGTAATATTTGAAAATGCATCATATTTACATGGGAACATCAAGCAATAGAATTTGAAAAGTATGTATGATTAGCATTGACTTTTGTTCCAAAATCTAAAGGAGGTTGCGTAAAGCCGATGATTGAAAATCTAATAATGTTATCTAGAGTCTAAAAGTTTTCAAGATTTTGATTTATTTTATCACATTTTTTTTTTTTTTTTTTTGAATATTGTGCTCGAACTTACGATATGATTTGTACTTTAAGCTTTATGGTAATATGTAAATGCGTAACCAATGATAATTCACATCTATTAGTGCAAAATGATTGCATAAAATTGCTTTTATCAAGATATTTCAATTCACTCGTAGCAATTTTGTTTTTATTGCTTATGTCTACATACACGCATGAGTTACACAGATAAAAAGATACTGAACAGTACAATTTAAAAACTTTAAAAAAGAAAAAAAAAGCACGATTATGCCTTCAAATTATCTAATTATGGTTAATGTTTTTGTACTCAATTTAAGTTTGAAGAATATAAAAGCAATATAAACAGATATGCTATACCATTTTCAAAAATAGTCGGAGAAGAAAATTAGTCCCGTCGAATTTTTGAGGAGACTACACTTTAAATCTTGTACTAGATGAATAATTTCTGAAAGCTTCTTGTATCAGATGGCACAGAATGAACAGGACAAAACTACTTACTATCGAATAAATGACACCTTGGCCAAGCGCTTCTTGAGTACTAGTATTAAGAATGGAGGAAATAAGAAACATCAAGCCACTCACATCAATTATGCAACTATTTTTCTAGAGTCGGATAAAATATAGTATGTTCTAGGAGGATCCTAAATTCAAAAGAAGCCAGTTATCCTGTCCAAAAACGGATAAATGGTTAAATTCGGCAAGGAACAAGTGAAGGAGACTGGCCCAGTACGTAAAGAAGGAGAGAAATTCCCGGCGATTCTGGTGCTAGTATTCATGTCGGTGATGTTCTTTCTAGCGCTTGTCGTCGTTTGGCAAGCTCACAACATGAATCAGCTTCTCTTAGAAATCAACGAGGAGATGGAAAATAGGAAATTTCACGCGAAGGATGTGAACATGGACAAAACCTTCAGAAAAAATATGAATTTAGATTGATTTCTTTAAAATATTTTGATGTTTTTCTTTAAAATCTTAGTTCAGATTTGATTTGATTTAGAGCTGATTCGAATTTTATTGTTTGAATTTTACTGTTTGACTTTAAAGTCATTTCAGAGCAATATAAAGATAACGACTTAGGCTTCAGATGTTTCATGATTCCGGAGCCAGATTTTATCGAAATCACACAAATCACACAAATCTGTAGGATATGTACATACAGGATAGGCAACGATTTCAAAGAATAGCTTAGTACCTCTATAACGTTTTAAATAAGATAAGCACAGTTTGAGCTTAGAGAAGACCTGAGGGGTGGTGGTTGGGGAGGGGGGAGTGTGAAAAACTCAAAAGACCTAACTACAAGCTAATTTACTCTTGCCATTACATCAAGCTGGTCGGGTAGATATGTGTATTATACCCACATCGAGAAATTTTACTCTGGTCTAGATATTTTTCCATTCACCATTCAGGGTATTTTGCGCAAATCTTTATAGAATTTTAAGTCCAGAAAAAGTTGTATGTCTTCACTTACCATAGCTTTCAATTGTTGTTCTTACATCAAATCACATTAGAGAGTGTTCATATTATTTTGTATCATTATTACACTTACACGTATTGCCAAAAAATTGTGTCATGTTATCATTTGCTTATTATCCTTCAACGAAGTGTCAATTTTGAGAAGTTCTAACTAGTATATTATCCAAATTATTATCATTGATTTTTTTTTTAGAAAATAATTTTGCAAAACATGAATACAATTGTTCTTTAGACTATCAAAACATCTGAAGGGGCAAGGATATTAAACTCATTAGTTTTGTCCCTTTAAAAGTTTTGAGTAGTCTATTTGTAAAAGTCAAGGAAAGTCCATATTTGGATTCCTCGACACCAAAAAATACAGGCTCGGATCTGTTATTATGGATATTGCAATTCATAGGCTTTTTAAACCGCCACGTTCTACGGAAGAAATATAGCCAAATCTACCCGTTTTACCTCAAACTTCAATATGCCAACAAAGGAATTGACGCGGTTAATATAATATTCTTAATCACAAAAGGTTCCAGTCTTGTATTCCACCATATTTCCAATTGAAGACACCCTGTATTTTCTATAAATATATATCGACTATTGCTTCCAAACTTTTTGACTACAAGAAAATTTTACAGAGCCTGGATACTGAGCATCTGAAACATAATTCACCATCGTGTTCATCTTCTTCACCCTACAACTAGCCTATAGACCTGCTGGACACGTTATTACTGGTGACGTAAATATAGTTAATAATGAGGACCTTAAATCACTTATTTTAAAGGGGCCAAAATTTAGGGAACCCCGATCTTTTAACTGGAATCATAATTTCATAAATGTTATGAATTCTTTGGAAGATTACGCCAGGCGATGGACCAGACATGAAAAAAGAAGACCTTGACACTTTGTCGGAATGCATTAAATATATCAGATGTATGTTAGAATTTCGCATTAAACGATTGAGGGGCAATATGAAAACCATCTTTTCTATAATAACTTTATTGATATGACACAAATATTCTTGAAATATTATCAACTGTTTGAAAATGCATAGCTAATATACTTAAAAAACTTTTCATCGAGCAATCTACTAACTCTTATAATGGCTCCACTGTCATTTGTTTACCTTTCGATACAACCGATTTGTGTCAGTAAAATCCAGTAAATGATGGTGTTTGTCCTGTGCTCGGAGTTTATTCAGTAATAGCAGATGAAAATTCCGGAGGTGGTCCACATCAGTCTTTAAGTTTTCTGTCATTTTTGTAAGTTCGTTCAGGTACTGGTTAGATTTGTAAATGTTAAGTAACACAACAACTGTCAAAACATTAATGACGAATAAACACAGGTACAAAGATTTTCGTTTTCGTTGCTTGTTTTGCTTCTTTCGCACTATTATCTGCTCTTGAATTGGGTATACTATTAACGGTCTGTCTTTCTCCATTCGGTTTATTTCTACTATTTTCTAGATGTATAAACTGCAAATATATAAAAAAAAAACAAGAACTCAAAACTTTGTTCTTACAAACAATAGCATATGTCACCCTGACCTGACCAAAAACATTGCAAAAAAGAGTTGAAATCAAAGTAAGGAACTATTACTTTAAAATTTTGGAATAATGTCGAATTTTAAGAAACTTAAAAAATCGCCTTTTTTGTTTCCTTGGTAACAGTGAACAAGTCTGTTCAACAGATTTTAATTATTTTTGTAGAAATCAGTATGACTTCATGTCAGGAATCATCCTTTGATGTTTCAATAAGAATAGGTAGGTTACTGGGAAAATGATTTATAATTTTTCATAGTTCACCTGTTTCCAAGGCAACGGTGACCATTTTGAACATTTTAAATGTTGAATGCACAACTAGCCTTTAATAATTATTTCTGTGAAGTTTCAATTAGATTACGCTAGCCATTTGAGAGATTGATTGATTGTGTGTTGTTTTACGTCCCATTCGAGAATTTTTCACTCATATAGAGAGGTCACCATATACCGGTGAAGGGCTTCAAATTTAGACCCTTACTCGGCCATTGAGCAGTGAGAGTTCTTTATCGTGCCATCCTCTGCCGTGACACGGGGCTTTCGGATTTTAATAGTTTATCGTGCCATCCTCTGCCGTGACACGGGGCTTTCGGATTTTAAGGTCTCATCCGAAGGACCCACAACTTTCACTTCAAAGCGCCGAGCGCTTGGCGAAGGAACAGTTGCTACCTATTTTTTATCGACTTAGGTCAGTCGCGGTTGGGGATCGAACCTCTGCATACAAAATTATAGGTGGAACGATAACAAATTTTGGGGAGGTTAATTTTGCAAAATCTCATTACCAATTTGCAAACTGTTTCTTGTTTACAAAACTTTTTTATCATCTTGATCGCATTCTCTATTCTAAACCTAACAAAGTATACTTCAGTGAAGCCTCAGAATTTTGCTTAATCATTCTGTTAAATTTTTAACCCTTCATAGATTAGAAAAATTATTGGTATACAGATGTTTTTTTTTCTTCTTTGCCAAACTAGCAAACTGAATGTAAAGTCGATTAAAATGAAGATTGGTGATGTGTGAAAGGTAGACAGATTTAATTTGAGAAGTAGAAATCTAACAACCAACCTTCTAAAATAACAGGTTAAAAATTGTAAATTATACTGAGTTTTAAATTCTTCCAAAGGTTTTTTCAAACAGTCGGCAAAGTGTCAGGTGTGTGGGAGTGTGTCAGATAAAATAGGAACGCGTCACCAGTTTTTGGATAGTACTTTTAGTATTAGGAAAAATACTAAAGGAAAAGTTGGTAGAACTAGTAAAATTGTTTTGAATGTGTTACAGCTGCAAATGACATACGACACTTTTTTGATATTTAACATTTATGCGCATGCAGCAACATCTGCAGAAATTATTGGCATGGACACAAGACATTTATAATCCGAGATATCAGCAAGTGGAAAATTAGTGGCCGATTTGACGCATTGCATCGATACATTATGGGGATTACCAAAGGAGGAATACTTGCTCAAATTACCCTCAAAATTTGCTCCAGAACAATTCACATAAAAAAGGGACGTTCATTTTGTCATTTTTGTGTGTTTAGCATGGGGATGAAGAGATACAGTTATTTGTTTATATGTAATTTTAAATATAAATCTTGAAGTTATTTACAAATCTGACCACTATTTTAAAATTCTACTTAATCTATGTTCAATATATCTTTTATTTATCCTAGAGAATTCTTTTATGGGTTAATTATGCCTTTGTCGTAAATAGTAAGAAAGTTCTTACGAATGTATCTAATAATGAATTTTATAATCATTGTTCTCCGATTTTCCCAAACATCCAAGTAAAATTAAATTTCGATTTTAAAGATATAGATAACCTTATCGGGTTTAAATCATACTTAAATTCTCTTCACCGTAAAACAAAGACTGTTAAATGAATAAAAGGGTAAAAATCAAAGATAAAAATATACAAATATTTCTAATGTATATAATGTAAATATTACCTTGTTAATAGCTGTTTTCTCTAACACGTGAATAAGACAAGTAATGAGGGCCCAAGGGCTCAGTGGAGTATGTCAGTTTGCCTATATGCTCCACAAAATTTGCATTCATATTAAAATGTCTGCAACCATGTGTCACGATGCAAATTTTATGTCTAATTTTTTAAAAATCTAAAGTATGTCATTACATTTTAATTTCTCAGAATCTATCAAAATCGGTAATACAAACAGTATCCCGTGATAGTGATGGTATGGAGACAGCCGTAATGAACAGCATCCCATAATAGTAATTGTATATACATGTAGATAGCCGTAATAAGTTATTTCAGATTTTTTATATATACGTTTTCCTTTGATGTGTCACCACCCTGTGAGATTTATCCGGATCATGCGAGTAATATTTTGCTTATCCCAAATTTAAAATGTTTTTTTTTTTAATTCCATGGTTTGCACAGTGGAAAATTTCATGAGATAACATCAAAGTTATGCTAGGTATATTTCAAATTCTATGATAATCTCTTGAGGAGTTGTTAATCAAATGCTTCATTCATGTTAAGAACAATACTGAAAATCATTTTCCCTAAGTCAGAATCAACACCTATTAAAATTACAATGCATGTACACACTGAAAATTGTGTTGACGAATTTTATGATTAAAAAGACCTCGTTAAAATGAACCTCAAGTGAAATATTCTTTAAATCACATTACCTAGTAACATATTTGATCAATTTTTCCCATTCTCATTTTTCCTATCCCCGGTCGACAGGGAATGCTTACTCCTCCATAGCACCAGATCCGACCTCTGATGATTTTGGAGGTCCGTTTTTGCTCTGCTCCCGATCCGTATTGTTTCAATGGCATTTAAGCTTAATTACTTATTTTAGAACTTATAACTGTTTATTATCTACAAGCCAAGGGCTTTCTATGCGATCTGCTTCCAAGGGACCGAATACCCTTGACTTGAATATTTGTCATCAGAAATGAAATTAGCAAATTAAAATTAAAATCATTTTTCCACCTACCGGTAAGTTACCAAAAAATAGAGTTCAAATTCTTTCCATGTTACTGATGCATTGATATATTGTTAGAGCAATAGATCAAAATTGCTTAGTGTGATTTGATTGTCTGACAAAGGCAATTTTATGCAGTGAATCTCTTAAAATACTCGTATCTGTGCTTAATAGTTGGTTACTCATATATATACACTGTAATATTAGCAAAACACTGCATAAAGAATAATATTTCTAATTTTAATAAAATGCATTAAACGAAAACAAAATCTTGATCAGGGATTGGGAAATTTAAAGAAAGGGATTGTAACTGACCGAACTAAACTACTTTTTTACGTTATAAAATGTATTTTGTTATTTTAAAAAGTTTTTTTTTAATTTCAAGCATAAAAATATTTTTTTAATTAATACTCAATTAAAATTACGATTAGATTTTCAACAACTTTGAATTCCATTTCTTAGAAAATTGTTAAAACAAAAGTATCCAGATGCTTCAAGTTCACTCATTTAAATTTATTTAATGAATGAACAAATTTATTTATAACTTATAATTGTATCAATATTGACATTGTTGTCAATGGGATTCAGTATTGTCTGTAATATCCAAGTGTTGTTTCATAAATCATCGAAAAGTAATTTAATCTTATTAGCAAAAAAAGAACTATTTAATTTAAGTAAATGAGCGCATTTGAACGGGGCTTAATTAGATACCGATCACACTAAATACTTATAAAATTAGAGTAAATAAACAATGAATTTGTAGGATTTTACAACATCAGCAGCTAATTTGATGTCAATCAGGACTAAGTTAATTTTGTCATGTCCCAGTCATTTGAAGAAATAATTATCTTTGCAATCTTGAAAAAAAGTTATTGTGATCCTTTTTATCGGACAACTTCAACTTCTAACTTCAAATGTTAAATTTATGACGTCACAGAATATATATATTTTTTGCAGCTGTTTCAGGATAATCATTCCTTTCATACCACAACTTCTTATTCCAGATAAAGGTAAATGAAATATTTTTCTTTAAATGAATTTAAAAAAAAAAGACAACGCCAGATACATTGGATTCACATATAACAATTATCTTCCAAGAAATCAAGGAATCAGCTATCTTACATACGAAGGTGTTTGCTGTATTTGTAGGGGAATTTATATTCATTAATAAGAAGCTGTTTCAACGTTTTAGGTAAGCTTATCTCACAGGGGCAATAGGTTTTTCCAAAGATTGGATGAGGGAACAATCCTTTTTGATTGAGTTCAATGAAAAAGAGTAAGGGTGTCATTTTGTGGAGAAGAATGATCACAGTTTGTGATCTCTTAAACCACATTTCTTTTCTTGGGAAACCACTTCTATTCGTGTAGAGCAATTCGTGTAGAGCAAAACTAATTTTTCAAAGAAATAGGCATGAAAATAATTTCTTACAGAAATAAAAAGTGTTGTAATAACGTTTTTTTAAACAAGGTCAGTGACTTTTCCTTACGTATAAGTCGATTTTTTAACTTGACAATATAGACTGTCATTCTCTTTACAATGATTTTCCCTGTGGCGTATCATTAAGTTCATCCGAGCAGAACGGTTTCAATCGTACATAGTTTTTACGTTTACCTGTAATAATTATAACGAGGTCTACTGAAAGTTGCTGAGAAAAACTACGCATCGAATGAAAATTTTAAGGTTAGTTGTGATGTATTAGTTCTGCATTTACTAATCAAAGTTGTTTCCCGGAGGAAATAAAAAATTGTGTCAATATAAACCAATGATCCGCCATGCTTAATGTACATGTAATTTGCTTGACATTAATTAGCGTAGACATCATGCAGTGTGATAATGTGTTTAACTTGTGTAAGAAGTTGTTATGATTACTACATTTGTCTCTATAGCTAAATTAATATGATTGCGTAAATCTGAAGTTAACAGGAATAATAAGAAATACATGTATTTCTAGACCAAATGCATATTAATTGTTATTGTTTCATTCGTGAATCTATGCTATTGTTTTCAACATTAAATTAAGTTATAA